GCAGGAAAGATCTGACACCATAGTAGAGATACTCAGGTAGAAGAATCCACAGGGACCTGAATGTGAGACTCAAATTACAAAGACAAGAGTAAAAACTGCTCTCTTCCTCCTCTTCAGCTATCACCCCGTTACACAAGAACAAGGGCCTGCTCAAATTCACAAGGCAGCTCGCTGGGAAATGGATAAAGCAATATTTATTTACCCAGCCACAGCATGTGAGAGTCACTGATGCAGGAAGTTCCTGAGAAAAAAAAAAATTCAGCACTGAAATTTAAAGGGCTCCTGGTAATTTTACAGCCACAAGTATTTCTAGCTTTGAAAGCTGGGGGGAAAGAAAAAAAAAAAAGTCGTGATATTAATTGTCATTCTTCAGCTCTAAAAATGAACACCTGAGCACATCTACTACTACGGGAAGGGCACCCCACCCACTGGGTCCATGTTGTAACCACCCTGGCAGCTGCTACGTTTGCGCACCTGACTTTGTGTATTTCCATTCGTTCTGGTAACAAAGTAGCTTCCATAGCCAAAACTGCTTCATGCTTTTCAGTGTTGTTACACGAGACTCAGAATGGCTGTGCTTAGGGTGATAGTTCCTGGACTAATAAACTGGCTCCGCCTTAGGGTGATTAAATCAAACCCCTAAGCCAACGCATCCCTTATCAATTTAGCCCCCGGACCAATCGGAGACAATAGGTACAACATAAACTCATTCAATTCCCAGTGTATAAATACTCTCTGTTCTGTTACTATGGGGTGCTAGTTCTCTTGGCATTAGCCTGCTAGCACCTGATCCTGGAAAGATTGTAATAACCATGATATCTCTATCTGTGTGTGGATTAGATATCGCACACCAGGTAAAGAATCCACTGTGGGACAACAGTGTGAATTACTCTCCTGCATATCGTAGAATGCATGCAATATTTCCAGAGTTTATTACTGTTCAAAGTCTCAAATACACTCCTTGATTTTACAGTGCCAATTAAAAAAAAAAAAATAAAATTGAGCACTCACATTTTGGAGCACACACTTGTGCTCTCAAAGTGTCTAGAGCTCTCCGCAAGACCTCAAGACCAGGAATATTAGGTTTGGGTCTGGCAAGGGAAAAGCTACCCTGTTTTCTCCCAGGCTGAGAAGTATCAGAGAAGTCACACAAATCTTGGAGATGATTGCTACAAGCCAGAGTCTGTAACACAGAACATGGCCCTCCACCTAGGAAAGCATTTTGCTCACATCCCTCTGATGCTACTCAGTAAGCAATCTGTTCCCATCTTGAAAAAAACCCTAGCAGAGTTTCCAGAAACGGCCGCTCTGTCAACAAAGACTTGGGAAATGCTTTCAAAGGAGCCACAACTGCACCAGGCCGAAGCAGGGCGTCCCAGATCTGGCAGGCAAGGCCAGCAGAACAGGTTAAGCAGGAAGCATTCGGCTTTGCCCTTCCTCCCCGTATCACCCCTTCGAAAACCAGGAATGAGCTGATTTGCCTATCCAAACCTCAAGCACTGCCACCAAGTCCCTCTTCAGCACACCCCCCCCTTACCTTATTGAGCCATTTCAGCCCTGGTATCCTGTTAGAGTTGATCTGATCTTCCAGCCACGGGCGCATCCGCATCCTTTCAACAGGCATTGTCACCCAGCCGGGCAGGAGCTGCCGGGAACAAGCGGTGAGGTTACTGGGTTTCTAGGCAGAAGTCCCAGGCAGCTCCCCCATCCCTGCACAGCACAGACTTACTAAAGCTTTGCAGCCATCAACCAACTCTAAATATAATAGTGACTTTGGATCTGGGGGGGAACCTCCCCAAGGAGCAGCTGAGATGACAAAGCCATCTCAGCTACGGCAGAGAACAGTCTTCTGGTACACCTGGCTTAGGGACACCTTCACCTGAAGAAGACACATCATATTGGCAAAGGCTGGTCTCCTGATCCAGACAGGACACCAGAGGCCACAAGAAAAACATCTGCACTCCTGAAGAGACCTGTTTTTGGCCCATATACCTGCAATTGCACAAGACCTTTTTTTGCCAAGAAGAAAATGTAACCAAAACAATTCACATGCAGGAGGCATTGTTGTACTCGCTAAAATGATGCACCTGCTAACAACAGTGCTTTCAAATGGCTGCCTCTGCCCCATAAACTTGTCCCGTGAAAATTACAAAAAATACATTTTGTAACACAGCAACTTATCACACCACTCTGGTTCTGACTTAGTAGTTTGACCCCCTCCCTCCAGCTTTCTCTGATCAAGCCAGTCACTGATTTTTTAGCTGCTGATTTACATTTTGATGTTGCTTAGCTAGGAAGTGACTGCTTTACAGTCCCTCAGCTGCACCATGCCACATTATATTATTCGGTTAAGACTCAAACTGACTTCTTTTTTTTTTCCCCTCTCTCTCTCTCTCACACACGTGACCCTGATGCCACTTCCCTCTTTAGAGCTGTGAATTATTGACATAAGAGTCCAAAGTCTTGAACTAAACACAGAATATTTTAAAAACGTTAACCTTTCTCAATCACCACTCCGAATGCCCAAACCAGCACTTAGATGCAGATTGTAGCACCACATTAAACTGATGTTAAGCAGCCTGCAACCCACTATTTCCATGTTCAAGTACTTGCATTTAGGCTGCTGCTTCTCCTCTCCCCCTCTGCACTGGGTTCAGCTCCTTCCTCTCTTCTTTGTTCTTCACATCTGTGTTCTCTGCATCATTCTTAACTTCTCTGCTCTGCTATTCTTGTCACCTTTGATCTTAAAAAAAAAAAATTAAAAAGAGAAAAAAAAATGAGTAAGCCATTTGAAAGCACACAGCAATGACACAAATGTAAATGGGTTTGTTCTTGCTTCCTATGGGAGTACAGGCATCAGACAGACTAACAATTAGGCAGTACCAAGCCCACACCCAGCACAGGAGGAAGAAAAATGTTCAAAGTTTCCTCTCATTGCTCTGAGGACATATATTTCCTGAAACTAGTAAGGAATTAAAACCCAAGTGCAACAATAAGGCTCTTTGATGTGTTCAGAGAATTTACCAGCAGCCTGCTTAGCCTAATCTCTTAGCAAACATACTGGCATTTTATCTGCTACTGTGTGGAGCTGGTCAATCACACTTCAGCCACAGCCTTTTCCACTAACTACAAATTTCTAAAATAGCTCAGAAAATGGTTGCAACTGCTCAGCTCCCTTTCAGGTTCACATCAGACACAAAAAAGCAGTCAACTCCAGAACTCAACAGCAGTCAAGCTCCCGTGCAAATCCCCTCTCCATGCAAGGGGGAATCTGCTTTCTGGGCAAGGGTGATGTGGGTGCAGCTTTTCCAGCCCCTGGGATAGTGGAGAGCAGCTGGCCACGCAGCTGCAGCCCCCATCACTTGTTGCCAGCCATCCTCACCCAGGTTCCAGAGAGCATATGGGAGATCTGTACCATCTTCCCCCACTACACGTCGGCGCAAAGCTGAGAAATGCAAATGGCAAGGTACTAAGAACGTGAGCAAATTTTCATTCATCTGTCAAAGAAGAAACAAGCGGATGCAACAATCATTTTAGATGCATTTCTTTTTAAGATATCTTTAATTAGGCATGCACTTTGGGACAATTCCTGGAAACACTGTGCATCACCTTCAGTATTCAACACACAACTGCTCCCATTTAGCAGTGGGACTTGCCTTATATTCTGGGTAATGAGCCCCTAAGACGAATTTCAAGCCCATCTGAATGAACAAATTAGACAGAAGGCAGAAAAGTCATCTTGAAGGCAGCAGCAGCAACAAAGCCCACTTGGGACAAACCACAGAAGAAACAAACAGGAGCTGCCTTTGTTCAGAAGCAATGCATTTCAGGAGAGGAGAGAGCTGCCAACATCACTACTACAAGGAAGCGAGTCTTGTCCAAAACGGCCGTGGAATCAGTTGTCTCTTCCCTCCCATGTCCCCAGGGGGTTCCCCAGCTGCTCCCCCACAGATGCCATGGTGCTGATCTCCTTTTCAGCACCCAGGGACTCCTCTGGGATTAGCATCTGCAGCTGTCAACACACACCTTCACATCCATCACCAAGGCAAATCAACCTAAGGTAATCAGAAAATATGTTTGGCTTGTGAGAAGGGAGGAGTGGCTCCCAAGATCTGTTTACCTGAAAGTAAAACCAAACCCTGCTAAAAATAACCCACAATGATGTCCAGCTGGAGGGAACAGTGAGCATCTTCTTGGGGAATGTCTTTCACAGGGAGGCAGATGCAGTACACTTCTGCTCATCTAAACATACCCTGTGGTCCTTTGAGAGCACACGCTGCTGAAAATAAAGCCTGGTGTCTTCAGAAGATACTCCCAGATCTGTCTGCCTCAAGATAGCAGTGACCATGACAGTGCTAAAATGTGGTGGGTTTTCAGCAGTTGCATGTCTACAACACCCTTCTGATTAAAACATCAGGTCACCTCTTCAGAGTAATTGCCTATGGAAAATTAAGGTGTCAAATGTCCCCTCCGGAGTTGTTAAATGTATGATTTATTTGTACAGAAAGAAACAACAACTTCTGCACTGCCTTAAAAGTAGCCTATGTCTGTCCCTAAGTGGGGTCAATGGGTGCACTTCAGAGTCTTACCCTGATAGCTCCAGGTGGGAGAACCTGAAGTCCACCCATCTGTACAAAAAAAACCCTACAAAGCCAGAAACTAAGGTGAGCCATCCAAAACAGCAGGCATGCCAAGTTCCTTCACTCCAGCCTCTCTCCAGTGTTTACCAGCAGAAAGGAAAAAACAGAAGCAGTTGATCCTTTTAAGGAGAACAAAACATCAACATTTATAATCTGAAGCAGGCTGTGAAACTGGGAGCACCTATGCATCTATCTCCCATTCCTGGTTAATGCTAACATTGGACTTCCCTTGCACATTTACACACAGAAGCTACGTGCAGTTGTCTGTATTTTTTCTGTCAGGACAAGTGGATTTCTCAGTACTTTCAGAGCTCCCAAGGCATCCAGTTCCCTCTGGCTTCACCACCACTATGAACTCCTGAGCCACGGGTACCCATCTACTGGCCTAAGCAAACCTCTCCAGAAGTCTTGTTACCTCTGCCAGCCTGATCCTTGACACCTGGGTTCACCAGGAGAAAAATGGATTTATGCCTGCTGTGGGTCACCTGGCAACATGCTCCTCCATCTTGTAGAGACCATGAATGGAGATGACCAGCATAGAGGAGTGGAGCCAGCTGGTGCTGCAGGGTGAAGGAGCAGTTCCAGCTCCACCAGTGGCAAAGGAGCACATTTCACTCCATCACCTCTGCCCTGTACTCCCACTCCGACTGTGACACACTAATGAATAGACAGCTTTCTGAATAAGATCAAGGAACTTATCAGGCTTAGAAGTAACAGCTCTTTCTGTAAGGCCTTTTTTGTCTGTTTGAACCTGGATTGTGGTTTACATCCTACCCAATAACACGTTGACAATGTAACCAAGAGGGGAGGGCACTCAGGCACCGGAGAGGGAAGGAGCAGCTAGGGAGGACAGGGAGGAACCCCTTAATCCAAAACCACTAATGAAGCTCCTGTGCTTTTAGACCACAGCTTCAAACTCGGGCAGTACTGAAGTACAGAACCTCTCTGGGGAGGGCACAGGAAAATGCTTAACACTCCCAGAGACCCATGTTTGAGTCAAATTTTCTGGCATGACATTGAAAAGAATTCCTGTTTGTTTCTTCTTCTGGTTTATCACTGTCCCATGGTGGGGAAAGGGAAGACTAATTGCCAAGAAATACAATCAACTGCTGATGCAGATGGGACCTAAGGAAAGTTTTTTCTGCCCTACAAGAGAAGAGCTCATTTAGACATGGAAGTAGGGCTACCTGCTGGGAATTAATTTTATGAATGCTTGCATTCTTAACAAGACGACCAATCTTCAAGAATCACCATTTTTAACCATGCCTCCTACAAACTACTAAGGCTGGCAGCTCTGTGAATATCACTTCCCCTTTCTTGCTCCATTTTTATCACCTGCCTCCTTCTTAAAGGGGCCACAGTCCGGGGAGCTGCCTTTTCAGTGGTGGGTGCTTAAACATACCAAGGGACATTAAGACAATCAATAAACCTACTCCCAAAAAAGTGCTAAGCTTGCAAGACACTATCCCCAGCTCAGTGTCATCTGCCTGGAGTGGAAGGCCACTGAGAGCCCCGAGCAAGAAGCCTGGCACACAGATGTGCTGACACTACAGTTTATGGAGGGATCATTTTGACCTTTTTCGAAGCTTTATTTACTGCACTATTTGTGCCGGTCTTGCAGTCAGTTCAGCATTTTTTTTTGCAACTACATACTGCAAAAACATGGTGAGGGCTACCACACAACAAGCTCTAACTGTCCTAATCCTGTAGACATGACTCAGAGGAAGAGTGCTGTGGAAGGCAGCCAGGACAGGATCTGCTGAAGCCAGGGCCAGCATCACCCAGTTAGGAACAAGAGACCGGGAGAAGACCAGTCAGTAACACTGCTCCTGCTACTGCAAGCAGCACTTCAAAATGAGCTTTCTACAAGGAAATCACACTAGCAGCCTGAGCCTGAGGTGAAGCACACAAGCCAGTTTCCTAAGACAGACACAGCTGAATGAGTCATAATGGCATAAGAGAGGGGAGCACGGGTATAGCAACATTTGTAGGAGTAGTCACAGAAAGGGTACTGAGCAGGTAGCTGCCACCACAGCTTCCTTCAGATGCAACAAACCATACTGAATTTCAGCTCTATACTTCTTTGCAAGATGTATGCACTCATTCATTTTTACAAAGATACTGGGAAAATATCAGTTATTTTCATGAGCTTTTAATCTTTAAAGAGACATTAAAAAATATCTGTGATAAACACATAAATATTTAACATATTTTTTTACCTTACCTAGATACATATCTATAATTTATTTTTTCATGTCTTACATATAAATATGTTTATATAAATATTTTCACTCTATGATGTTCAATAAAGAGCTTGTAGCCCTCCCTACTTGCTGCTAAAACATTCTGGCAAGACTGACTTTTGTTTTTAGCCTGACAGAGAGAACACTCCTGCCATACAGAAAGCGTAACCTTTGAGAGTGGAGAGCTCTTCACTAGAATTACAGCAGCTGTAGACAGAAAGTGAAAGCAACGGCATGGCAGGCATTAAGTCTGAGAAGTACAAGATGTTCTCTTCCCTTCAGTTTCGCTCCCTCTGACAGCATCCGGACCACTGAAAAGGGACAAAGGTTATCACAAAAACAAAAGCTACTCTAGGGATATTTTAAAAAATATATATTTGTACAGAAGTAAAAAAAGAAAAACTTGAAAAAGCAATTCTTTCCCCATCACAAAGTACCCAGTTAAAAGCTTTGCCAGTACATGGAAATATTAATGGTTGTGAGAAGGCAAGCTGGCATAAGATAACTGGAGTGAGTTTGTGAAGTGGGCCGCAGCCCTTCCCCAGAGCTATGAAAAAACATCTGCTCCCCAGAGGACATGAGCAGAAGATTGCACAGGATCTGTTTCTCTTTTCTCTGTAAATACAGAACTGACTACTTTTTTTTTTTTTTAATTAAAGTTATTTTGCACTTGTGCTTTGCTGATAAACTTTTAAAGTATTCCCTTTGTTTTTAAAGGCTGCTGCAGCTCAGAAAAGCATCAATCACCCTGTGTGACCAAACAGATATGCTGAAATGAGACCATACTCTAATTTTAGGATTCAGAGAACTGGGTTCTGTATTTGTCCCTGTGCCAAGACTGTTCCAGGATACAAGGAAACACAATCTTATTTTAAGGAACAGTACTTGGAGCAAAAT